TTTTCCTGCTTTATCCATTTGCATGATTCTACCACTACCATGCTTGACCGTTCACACCTTGTTGGAAGGTTTAAAGAGTCCTCCTTGTTTATACAGATATGCTAGTCATTTTTGGCTTTTTTTCCCAGCTGACCATAAACGTACTTCTGAATGTAGGTAAAGGCTAACTTCAGATTTACATGGCGCTGCCTGTTTTACAGCTTGTTGAAAGCTTTTCATAAGCTTCCAGTTTATGCTCGCCTTAACTAAACAATTTAACGTGTAATAAAAACAGTTTGGTTCAGATGATTGAAATTTGACCCAACTGGCAGGAAAACAAACCAAACGCACATGACAAGGGAAAAAGGTATTCAAATATTAACTCCAGTTCAATAAAAGGAGATCAATGGATTTCTGTCAGTCTGCATTTTATTTAATCTTTGCAGAGAGATCAACAGCAACATCATACAGACCTTATTGCATGATATTCAGCCCTGTTCTGACTAGCCAAAGTTAGTGTCTCCCTAATTAACCCTGCAGAAAAGCTGTGAAGGTCTCCATGCGTTTCTACCTACAGCAAAAATCAGGTAGTTTGAGAAAGAGTCTAAATGTTTTGAGAACTACCTCATATTATGGCCAAAAACTCCCTAAGAGGATAGCAACCCCCCCTCTCTTAGACATGTTGTGGCCTTGGCGCTCTGAGGCCAAAATAATAAAAACCAGCACACATTAATCTGTATATATATCGGTGCTGAAACAGTTAATCAGATTAATTGTGATTAATCGATTATTGAAAAAAATCTATTAATTTAGTTATTAATCATTAACTGCAGTATAGAGACTCTAAAACAGTGTTTTTCAATCCTGGTCCTCAAGGCAGTGTCAGCTCCAATATATATACCTACATAAGAAGGTGGAATTTTTTCCCAAAACACACAGTAGAACAAGTTTGGACAAGATAAAGGTGGTCAGCATTAAGCTTCTGATCCCAACTCTGCTGAATGTTTGTTAATTTTTCCAGAACTTTAAAACCACCCTTTTTGTACTGGCTTCAATTCTTCCTAAAAGAGTAGCAAATCATCCACCGAACCCCGTGGATGGTCAGAAAAACTGCTAACATTCAACCACGTTAAATTAGAGTGAAACCTTTATAGTTGGATATCAAAAATATATTTCTTCCTGTGAGAAGATATTTGTTTACGGTACTTTGTTTACTTCTAATGAAGGAGTTGCAACTTAGTGATAACAAACCTTTATTTATTTTTTTTACTTGTATAACAACAGTGATCCAAACATAGTCTAAGTACTACCTCTTCAGTCCAATATGAGTTCCTGCTTGTGTCTGCAGAGTGAATTAATCAGGTTTAAGTTTGGGTCTGACTCTTTCTGTGCCTTGACTGAAGCTGTTTGTCCTGAGGCAGGATAAACAACTGTGTGGGCCAGGCCAATCACGGCAGCTTCCTGCTCACTCTGGTCTTCTTCCTGCTGACGTCCATGTACGGCATCGGCCTGGTGCTGCGGAGCGTGTGTCCCCAGCAAAGCGTCCTCACTGCCTTACTCTACTGCCCTGGAGTTTACAACCAGTTCAGGTTCTAGTTGGTCCACTTTCCTATTTTTAAAAACATCAGCTCTATGATATGATACTATTGTAATGACAAGGTTTTTGTAAGTTTCGTCAGAAAATGAGTACACAGCTTTCTCTCGTGCACTATTGATGTTTGCTGTGTCCCCTAAATGACTTGTTCTACTAATGAGCTACTTAAACAAAGTCTGTGCTCCCAGAGTGCTTTTCTAATTTGAACTAAGTAAATACCTTGTAGAACAACCTTTCACTCTAAATACAGCTGTTTATCCATGGGGGTATGTCTCTGCCTGCTGTAAACATTCAGGCTGCGACTTTTCCTTCATTGTATACTTCACAAGTGCATTGCATCCACTTCAGTTATGCGTTAGTTTGTTGATCTGTCATCAGAAATCTCAGTGAAATGCGTTCCGTCTGTTAGGAACATGAGGAATAAAAGTTCAAACGTTTTTGATAATGTTGTGCAGGCTGTATATTCCAAAAGTATTAGCCCCAGAATATGAATAGGATTTTCTATCTATATACCTAGACTATTATTTTAGATAGTTTTTTGTTATGCCATTTTATTTATTTTTTTATGAAGTGAGGTTTTGTTCCCTGCAGTCATTCCCGCTGATATCATCCATCCTCCATGATGTTTTGATGTATTTGTCTCTGCAGGAACACTGAAAGCCTCTCTATGGTTTATGTTGACTGCGTTGGGACTAAGGTTATTAACTATAATTAGTGAAATGACGAAAAACATTGTCATTAACTGAAATTAAATAAAAACTTGGTGTTGCAAAAAAAAAAAAAAAAAAATGGTCGAAACTGTAATAATAGCTTACAAGAATTAAAGCTACAGTGTGTAATTTTTAGCGACATCTAACGTCCAGACTGCAGACCGCAGCAACATGAACATCTCCCCCCCACCGCTTCTCCCCCCCAACAGTACGGCGAGCGTTACGGGACAAAATGTCTTCCACGACGTCCACATCACCTACCTTCTCAAGTGATGAGGTTTGTTTACATAGATAATTTTACAGATAGTATTCTCAGGCATAATACTGCCATCTATTGGTCAGTACCGTCTCAGTTCATCTCTCTTAACTTGCCGTAGTTACTTTCGAGCGTAATGGGCGATCTCGCAATCGCTAGTTTGTTGGCTCTGCGCTGCCGTAGCGCAAAGATGTCTGCCTCCATGGCTGCGAGACCCGCTCCTATGTAATTATAAATAACGAATTCTAAGGCAACGCAAATATTAAGGTTAAGAGGCTGAGCTCGTAGATGATGATAAATAACATAGTTATGTATAATATATTACATTTCTGACTGCATATCCCTGTAATTATTACACACTGTAGCTTTAAAAACAACAAAAATTTAAAAGAAAATGTGCTTAGTTTACACTTCTCTTTATTATAACGCTTTAATATGTGTTCTAATTTCCAGTAGCTGTTTTATTTTATTTTTTTATTTGTTCTGCGTTACCTAAGAAAATGGTGGGCGGGGCAGTCAGGTCATTTGTGTTGCTGCAGCGGTCTGTTCTTATCTGAGATTTTATTTCTATTTTTTCTTTTTATTTCCCCCAATATTTCAGTTGTATTACATTAAAAGACAAAATCTATAACTGAGACTTATGAAAACTAAAATGAAACTAAGTGTTTTTCAAAAAACCTGAACTAGCTAACAAACACTAAAACCAAATGAAAAGTAAAATAGAATAGAAAATCGGAAATTAATATTAAATAAAAACAATGAAACCATTTTAACCTTGTTTGGTTAGCTTTCAAATGTCTGACTTCTTCTTTCTATCTTCTCCAGTTCTGCTCTCTGCTTCACCTGTGCCTGGTACAGCAGCATTGTGACAGGCGGCCTCCTGCACCTCCTCATAGTGCAAGTCATAAACATCAGCTATAATGTGACAGAGCGGGAGGCACGCATTGCACTGAGGGAGAAAACCGCCCGCCGGGCCTGCTGGGGACTCGTGGTGGACACTGGCGTCTACTCAAGGGGTCTGTGGAGCAACTGGTTGGAGTTCATATCAATGGGGGACAAGCTGAAGCCTCCGTCTCTGACAGATTTAGTATAAAGGGACAATATAAGATTAAAAGCAGCAGCTCTGCTTCCGTCCCCTAGATGGCAGCATTGCCACATAATCTAAAAGAGGCTTTCTCCAGTGGACAGCCTTCCTATATGGTCCAGCCGCAGCTCTGGAGTTTTCCATTGGATGTGTAGAGGCACTAACTTTACACCTCAGTACTGTGCTTTCACCACCGTTACAGTGACTCACTACTGGAACCTCATCTATGCATCTGGATGCACCAGCAACACAACTATCACTGATGAAGTCTTCCCTCATACAACTCTGTGCCTCAGCAGACACACAAAAGGAAGTTCAACTCTCAATGTGAACATTTTCTGGCAAACAAAAAACACAGGAATTTCCCTCTGGAATTTGGGGATTTTATGTTTATAGATCTGGACAAAGAAATGCACACCAGAGGTGGAAGAAAACTGTAGTTTTACATGTATTTAATTTATATTAGGGAAGCAGCAAAGAGCCACAAAATTGGTAAATCTGAAGGAGCTTTAGAGATCCAGGGTGCAGCTCATAGGGGCACCGTCTGCTACCAGAGCAATACAGCCTAATAGAAGAATATACTTTTTTGATCATACCAAAATTAAACTTAAAAAAAAAAAGCTAACAGTGTACTGAATTATCAGGAGAAAACAATACAGACTTTGGCAAACGTTCACTTAAATTGTTTAGATCAAAACATGGGGTGCTAAAGACGATCCGGTCAAAGTGCAGAACTACATCCAGTTGGAAATCTGTGGCAAAATTAGCAGATTAATGTTCACCAATGCTGTCCATCCAGTCTGACTGAGCCAGATGCACGAAGAAAGGACTATTAGTCTCTTAATATTCATTACTGGTAGAGCCACTGGCGTGTCTGCAGAGTACCCCTGCAGACATGCACCTGGTAATGCAGTAAAACTTGTTTAGAGAAACTGTTTAGTGAGTCGGGCTGAATACAAATTCATTGTTTTTTTTCCCAGTTCTACTGACTCAATCCAATAAAGTTTTAGTTTTTTTTAAACATGAAAAATGTAATTAACTTCTGTACCTCATTGTCGGCTCTTTGCCTTGCAAATTGCATTATGGGTATTTATATCAGGTGAATGAAATGCGGCACAAGGTTTATTCTGGTAATGGTTGATTGCAGTTGTATAATGAAACTTGTAATAGGTTGTCACACTTCCACTTGAAAGCAAGCTAATACATTTGATCATCAAACGGCCAAATGTCAGCCTAGGACTGCTGAAGCTCACTGTTAGGACACTAGTTTGTATAGTTCAACTCTTTTTGTACTTCAATAACTGCTCTGTCTTACATCAGTGCACTTCGAATGGATTTTATTTATTTTATTAAATAAATGCGAGCAATGGAACAAGCCTTTTCTTTATCATTGCCATTACTGAAGTAATGTTTTGCCACTTGTGTAAAGCTTGTCGCCTTTTGACGGTTTCTCTTGGAGGTTCATCAAAGGGGATGGAGGCAGAAATCTGGCAGGAGCTCGGCCACTTTTCTGCTCAGCTTCTCCCGACGCACCTCCCTCTCCCTCTCCTTCCTCAGCACACAAGGAAGCTGCCTCCAGGCCTGGAAACACCTCTGCAGGACGTGTCTAAAAGCAAACAGATGGAAGGACAGACGAACACGGAGCAAGTGAGCAATAACGAAGTGGATCAGAGGGACCTCTGGCTAGACAGCATGTAATTAGTTTTCACATGGTGTTTGGCAGCAGAGTGGCTGGAGGGACTTCACCTGTAGCCTGTGGTCATTTAGACCAACTGGACTGGGCAGCTGCAGCTAAGAAATATTTACTGACATTGACAATGAAAGTATTGCTTAAAACATACAATAACAGGTTTTTAAGCGAAGAAATATAAACATACATTATCTGTCAGTTTTAAGACGTACTGAATTAAAAAGTATGCAACCTTTTAATTATTCACTATCTGTAAAATAATACTGTGTAAAACTATTTAAAATCTAATCAGAATAAATGTTTTTTTTTTACTAATGATTGAAAGTGTAGTGGAGGATTTTCGTGAATTTTTGAAATTCCACTTGAAAAAAAATGCACATGCACAACCCTGTACCCACTCGAAGGAGGGAACGCCTATTAAATGCAGGAGAGAGCGTGCATGAGCCCATTTCTCCTCGTGCACGCTCTGTTTAAAAGCTGCTGTTTGCATCCCTCATACAAGCTAACTTTCCAAAAGAAGATTTGCAATTTTTCCACTATGTCAGACTCACTGCCCGTAAGTGAAAATGGGGACGAGCACGTAGGACGGCCTTACGTAAACATATCACCAGTATGATTGCAATTAGGAGGACCGCTTATTTAGATGAACCACTTGGAAAAAAACATCATCCACTATAACTTTAACTTTCAGTATCTATAATCTAAAATAAAACAGAATTGTTGACATTTTCTAACGTTACAACGACAAACCTCAATCTGCCTGTTTTGGTTTTTTTTTTGGGGCGAACCAAAGCCAACTAGCGGATAATTGTGAAGAGAACAGAAAAGAATAAACTGAAACACAAAAGTAAACTGAAAAGTGTGGCATGTATTTATATTTAGCCACCTTTACTGTCATAAGGTTTAATAAGATAAATAGACTTGCTGCTTTTGGAAGTCAATGAATTATGGAAAAACAAGTTTATGAATCAGCATTTTAACCTTTAAATATTTCCTAGAGAACAGGACAGGAGACGGTTAATCAGAAGCAGCCAATGGTAACTGGAGGAGCTGCAGACGGGAGCTCAGGTGGGAGAGAATTTGCAGCGGGACTCCTGTTTGCCACAAGCTGTTTAAAATACATAAACCCTATAAGGTGCTATGGTCAGATAAAGAGTGGTTCAACTGGTTCAACCTCAGCAAGACAGCACCCCCAACTTACTATAACTGACTGGTTCTCATGTAGCAGCTGTATAAAGACCCCCCCTAAATCAGGCTAAATCTGGTCGATCTAGTGCAGAAATGGATGTTGAAAATTGGACTGCTTGGTTGGTCGGATTTTGTCCCACTTTACTCCAATAATAGACGTTGAAAACCCAGTTTTCAACAATCTGAAAATTACGTCTTTCAACTATTCACTTTTCAATCAAATTTAGACCTCGTTTGGTTGAAATCCTGTTGTCTTTTCAATGTCTCTTCAACCAACTTCTGCTCGGTGGGCAAGATTAATTTACCCACACATTGACTCTATTCATTAAACTACATTTCTTATAAATGCACCATTTTGTGTATTTATACAATCCTAATGAAATGCATTAAAGTTGGTGCTTATAATAAGACAGAATGTGAAAACATTTGTATTTTCAAAGAGGCTGTTGAGCCTTGAAAGTTAAACAGGGCAGCAAAGAAAGCATTGGATTTGGAGATATGATTTGAATATTCAACTGAACTGAAACCAGTAAAATATGATGCTGTTCCCGCTTTCAGAGCTGGGAGTCAACATACTAAATTAAAGCTGGGAAGTTTTATTTTTCCACTTCTGTATCCTTATACCAATCAATAAAACCTGTCCTTATGGAGCCTCATTTACTCCTCTTGGCACTCTGCCAGGGAAACCATGGATTTCTACAGGAAAACCTGTCTCCTCTATAATAATTACTGCTTAACCCACAATACACCTCAGAGATCTAGAGTTTCTCTCTGTGAAAACATATTCCATCCTGGATTGTTTACCAGCTATCCCTATTTTGCAGGTTTGAAACAAAATCGGAACAGAGAAAGTAAAACCCAAAGCAAATCTGATCTCGCTGTAACTGCTGTAGCATTAAAAGTATCACTTAAATATAATGGAAGTATGTCTTAAAAAATGGAGTATATCCAATTTTTTAACACTGGTTGTATTTTTGCAATAATGCTGATACAGTTATCCTACCCCATAGAAATGTAGCTGAGTTAGCTTAATGAGGGCTGTATGGGAACAGAATGGCGCAGCCATGAGGAGCAGACCTGTCGTGATGTTCTTGAGCCAGCGTTCGTCGGTCCCACTTCACCAGCCTCTCCTGGCTCACATGCTGCAGCAGAGCCAGCAGGAACCTCCTCAAAGTGCGTATCCGATAAAAATGCTCGGCTCGCTCTTCCTGAATTATCCGCAGCTCCCCCAGCTAAAACAAGGACAAGTGTTGCAACAAAGGTTTATAAAAAGTAGAGACAATGTTGTAGGGTTGAGTATGTTGGAGGGTGATGGGTGCTCTTTGCTTTGAGACGTTGTCTTGTTTAATCGGGACACAAAAAGTTTTATCTAAATAAATCAAAATAGATTAAAATATCCAGAAAAAAGTGTCTGGAAATTTTTCAGGGATTTGTTTTGCTGTAACCACAAACTTTGATGTATCTCACTGGGCTTTTATGTCTAAGTGAAGAAGATTGAAAACAGTTAATATTTATCTACCTAAAAGATGTGAGGGCTAGTAGCTGCCTCAAATGATCTTTAAGTGGGATGAAGGATAAAATCTGCAATAATTAGATTTCTTTTATAGCTACAATGCATCAATTTCTCCAATGGACTTTGTGAACTTTGACTAGGCCACCATGACGCACACATGCTTTGATAAAAACTACTATATTATATCTGGGTGTCTGTAACAGGGTTCCCTTCAGGATTATAGTTCCAGAGAAAAGACCCCTCAGCATTATGCCTCCCCCACCCTGGTTTATTGTGGGTTTTTTTTAATGATGCACATAGAGTTCTGAATTGATCTCCCTTAACCGGAGCACCTTCTCCATGTTAGCTGTATGCCCTACATGGCCCCTACAATTCAAACAGAATTTCTTCTAGCATTCTTTTTTATTTCCGCTCTGTTCCTTGGCCTCCTTGATGAGGTTTGTTCATTTATGTTCACCCCTGTGGCCCCGACAGAGCGGCTGCATTAAAGCTGATTAACCTTTTGAAAATGTCTATTTTGTCAAATAAAATCCACTAAGCCTTCACGTTGAAAGTTTAGTATATATGTGTGCAGGTTACTGTATATATGTGTATACCCACTCTCTTCCAGCCGTTTAAGCTCCGACGAAGCAAAAAATGCTGATGTAGTCGGTCTGCAGAGGCCTCTTTCTCACACAGGGACTCTCTTGCAAACTGCAGCCATCCCAGGGTGCATCGCCTCAGCAGGAGCAAATTGTGATGAGTCTCAGCCATCTGGAGAGAAGCCGGTGAAGATACAACAGAATTAACTTCTTAATAAATATCATACTTTCCTTACTCTGTTTAAAACATGAACAAAGCATCCTTAGAGACATTTCAACCAGGGAGATTGCTGCTACCTTTATCCAATCAACTGCAGACGTTTCTGTAGAGTTAGCATCTGTTATATTTAATTGTTAAAATTGGTTTGCTGCAATCATTGATTACAGTCAATTCTGTGATATTTTATAATCTGTTTCATCAAAACAAAGCAAAACATTGAAAGATCTGCTGAGTCAGGTAAAATTGATTTTACCTGACCTGACTAAATGTGTTCACGGTCACATTGCAAGTCATTTACAAGCACTGAAGGAGAGCTTAAGACCTAAAAAACCCAATACGATTGATACAGTGCATCCAATTAAGTTTCCATAACCCTGCAAATCAGTCACATTTGGTCCACCTGTGTTTTTATTGAGATTTTAAATCATATAAAGTGTTGGTGGTTTTGTTTTGTACATTTCTTTTCTCAAATAAAGATCTAAAAAAATCATGCTGTACTTTTTATTAAGCCTCTTAAATCCATGTTGTTTAGTAATCCATTTTACTGCGATTACAGTTTCTACCACATTTAGCAGTTTCAAATAGTAGATTATTAAAAAACAGAAAACTAACTAAACATGTTTTTCTTCCTAGTGATGATAATTTTTTTTACTTTTTCAGATGCCCTAGATTTTGTGATTGAAACATGAAAAATGGGTTTTCTGAGATGGGATAATTCTGAAAGCTCAGCCTTAAACACGCAAACATGAGTGGTAGAATAGAATGTATTTTAACAAATGTCTATAATAAGGTAGACCTCTTAATATTTAAACATGCTTTAAGCTCAGAGCCCCATTAAATGTTCTGTTGTGACCACAGTTAAAAAGAGTCAAAGGAAACACTGCTGCATAAGACGAGATGGGATGCTTACCTCCATGTTGGCATGTTTTAATTGAATGAGGCGTTTCCATGGTGCCAGGCCTCGATGTGACAGTAAGGTCCTGTTTCGGTGTTGACACGCCACTCTCATGAGGTCCTGATGCCGTTTTAGGAGCCTCTGTCTTTCTGCTTCCCTCTGGACGGACACAGACGGACATTGCTTCAACCCTCTGGGACTTGTAGCCAACTATAAAACATGAAATACTCCTCACCTCTCGTTCCAGCTTCTTCTCCTCCCTCCTCTTCTCTGCTGCCTTGCGCCTCTCCTCCTCTTCCTCCCTCTGCCTCTGTTCCTCTGCAGCTTTCAACTCTGCCTTAAAAGTCAAGTCATTGAACTCATGAGCTAAACTGTTAATGCATGAAACATACTCTAACTTTTGAAGGAGTTGCCCGCCTCACCAGCTTTGCCTCTTCTTTCCTCCTCTTGATTTCCTCGATCTCCTGCCTGCGCTCGGCACGCTGTCTTGCTCGGGTTTCCATGGCTTCAGAGAGGCAGAGAAGTTTTCTTTAAAAAAACACATAACTGTAGTCCACTAAAGACCTTGAAACTAGAAGTTTTTTATGAATGAATGCATTGCATCACTTTATGCAATGAAATGAAGACAATGGCGGATATATTTTTTCAAGGGCACTCCATTATAAAGGAAATATATAAAAGTAGCTTTTATGAGGATTTGTGTGAAGGTCAGAAAACCAGGCATGATGTAATTTGCATACCATTGTTTGGGGGTAGCGAGTAAAATGATGAAACAGAGAAGATCTTTTCATCCTTTAGGATGCAGATTATTTTTTTGTATTCGACATATTTGTCTTCCAACCTTTATGTTCAGACATATAAAACTTGACGCAGTAGAGTAGAAGGAAAGTAACATAGTGACTACTAAACCAGAACCAGTCTAATAATATCCCAAAATAAATAAATTAAACTGATGATGATTACTTTGTGTGGATCTTTCAACTGGCCTGAAGTTAGATTTTTTTTTTTTTTTTTTAGGTGACTGCAGAGGAATCCTGCAAAATGGGGTAGATGAGATGATTACCAGGGTTTTTACTGATCTTGGGAGGATTTACAGGAAGACTCAGAGTTCCTTACATTTATCTGCTGCAGCTCAGCAAACAGAAGCTCTTGATTCTCTCTTTAGATTTTCTAGGTCTGGAGACGCTTTTGGTTGCTCTTTGAAACTACCGTGCTTCGTCTTCAGCCCTCCTTTTGACATCATGGCGATTACAATCTTGCTTTAGACTTCAGTATGAAGTAGAAAAGGTTTCCTGCAACCTCAGTTTTTTTCTTCCATGCTGTGAAGTTTTCTTGGACAGTTTACAGAAAAGCATTAGAGCATAATCCTTCCACCACCCTACTTGAAAGTGGGGATGGGAGAGGGTTTCATCCGGGTCTCATCTGATCACAGCGCTTTCTTCCAGGTTTTATCTGAAGCATTATGGGATAGCGTGTTGCCAGTGCTATATAGCTATGGTTTCATATTTAGATCCTTCAGTTAAGTTATGGTTTGATTCCTCGTTTTTTCTCAGACTATCCTCACCTGAGGAGGGAAGATGTTGCATTGCTCCAAATCAGGGGTGCCTGCTGGTCATTTACTGCATATCTAAGTATTTATACTAACAGTCCAGATATTCTAACCAAGCTACTCTTGTAGTTCCATCCAGCCATGTTGGTAAAAAGGACAGTATGCTTTATACACAGAACCAAGATCTGGAGTATCTCTGACTGACTGGATGGTTTTAGTGTCTATTAGAGTCAATTCAGTTTTAATCATTGTGGCTGAGAATATATGTATTATTATTGTTATGTAAATCAGTTCAATGGTTTAATAATATTGTTTGTGTTTGAGAGATGTTTGGTTTATCGTCTTTTTAAAATCAAACCATCATAAAAAAGTAGATTTCTTTGTTAGCAGGAAAACATATTATATCAACAGGCAACAAAGCTGTTATTTCTGCCACTGTGCTAAATGATATGGATGATTGCTATGTAGGGATGTTAGATGATTGGTTGCCAGAGAAGACTGAGGCCGTTTCAGATGAAGGAGGTCATTTATTTCCCACCAGGGTGTGAATGGTCAATCTATAAAAGCAATCTCCTGGATCTGGCCTGACCTTGGCCTATTAAACGAAACTAAATTGGTCTTGTTTGTTGTCAGGTGTGCTGAAGAAACCGAGGTTGTGGTAACAGACTGCTGCAAAAAGTTAACGTTGGACCTGCATTTGATGTGTTTAGATATTTTGACCCATATTCTCTAAACACATCAAATATGTAGTCTGTTAAATGTAGAAATGAGAATGGTTCCAACAGAATCACATTAAAAATAAAGCCATTAAAAGAGAGTGAGTGATTTTGTTTTATCTATCCATGATTTTTTTTGTACATTACCTATTAGCTGAGTGATACTGGATTTAAGATTAGGTAATACAGAGTGGAAAAATCCTTTAGGAATACTTATTAAAATTTGGCCATCATTAAGACGCACCTAATGTGATCCAGATTGGAAAGATAATTCTGATCTAGGTGAGCATCAATCCTCGGAAACAGAACTGCCATTCTTTGTCTTGATAGAGTTGACTGGAGGAAGAAAGGCTGACATGGATTACTGAGGGATAGAAAATAATAAAAGGAGAGGATCTTGGTAGGAAGGCTGAACATTTTAAAACTACCCTGAACCTTCAGGTTAGAGCTTTGGATGGTTTACTGTTTCTGATTGGCTGAGTATAATAAAAAATAGCTAACCTTGGTGAAAATATTGGTTAAATTAATACAGCCCTCAGTGTAGAGAAAAAAAAAGATAATGGCATGAAACACAGAAAGAAAGAAGAAAATCCTTTTTTCCCTGGATTTATTACTATTAATTGATTCAGATAATAAATGAGCCCCACTGCTTCTGCATGCCTGTTTTAAAACCCTAGGATACAGACTTTTAATATTCAAAATGTGTGACTGTTACAACATCTCTCTGACTTATTATTATTATTTTATTTTTATTTGGAGCATAAATACAGTGAAATAATTACAGATTATGGTTGTAAAGGGCAGAACACAACAAATCTGATTTTGTGTCCTATTCCAATGACAAGGTTATTTATATATTTTTATAACTTTTCATAATGTGAATAAGTCAAATGTGGGAAATTGTTTTAATCTGTGTATAGCACAGAGACAGAAGTGAACAAAAATCTGCCCGCCCTTCCTAGTCAGAGCCTCTCCATACTTTATTCCTTTTTTGGATTGCAAGTGCAATGCCCTAATAAACTTCCTATATGCAGTCAGTGTGAAATGGAAAAAAATGGAATCGGAGAGTAAAAAGTCGTAGGGAACCGGTGTGACCCGGGCTTGATATTGTAAGTCATAAGCAACAGCCGCTTGGACTGGTTCATTGGTTATTAGTTCTTACTGGAAAAATTGACTTTTTTTTCCCACAATGGAAGCTATAAAAATCATTTAGAAAATTTGGGCCTGATTTTACTAGACCCCAATCTGGGATTATGGTTCTTTAATTCCATCTGTTAAGTTTAATAGAGCAGCATGAATAACCAACTTTCAATGCTGTATTTGCAATCAGCAAACGCTCCTGCTGTGCGACTAGAAGTTATCACATTAACTGGTTATTAAAAATTTAAAGTGGTTGTTTTACACAACCTCATTTAATCAAGTTTCCAAATTAGTAGGACTCCTGCAGGCACTACAGATCAACTAACATCTCTCTCAGAATCAAAACATGCATTTTCATGAAAGCACAGATTTTCTTCCCTTTTAAAAGGCACAACAGGGAAAAAAAGAGAAGGTTCTGGGATTTAAGTTTGTAAAGCAGCTTAGTCAAAATAAATTTTTTCTTCATGGTTTTCATTGCTGCTAGCTTTTCAGCTTCACATATTTGCCAAAAACGATAAGATACATTATTTATACCACCATACAAAATGTAACACTTTTAAATTGTAAAAGATTTCCTGAAATCATATTTAAAATTTTGCAACTAATTAAGAAAAGTAAAGCATAGAACGTTTGGATAAAGATCTTGTCTGTTTCTCCTAGGCCGTATGAGTCTGTGAATATTTTCTGCTGTTTAGCTTACAGTCTGACCTGTGACAATCGGATGGGGGCATGTCTGCATCATGACAGCTTCCCTGGGAGGTGCACTCTGACTGCGTGGTTCCCCTTTAGCCCCGGGAGCTCTGCAGTCAGGATCAAAACAGCCAGAAGAAAGAAAAACTGTCAGAACTTTTGTTTGCATGCTTACATCATCTGATAAATTTCATTCTGCAAAAGGAATGACTAGCGGCAAGAAATAACAGAAGACTGGCCATGAAACTGCAATAAGTTTTTCTCAGATAACAAGTATTGAAATTTTTTAACTAATGTTTTAAACTAACACCAATATGACTGTTTTAAGGAGAGGTAGTATTCTCACATTTTAAGACAATCAAAATTATATGTAAAAGCTCAAATACATACATACCCCCTATTACTATTTTGTTTCTCAAGCTGAATAGAAAGCACCAGTTTTTAGAGTCATCTGCATGTTTATTTCATATTTATGACCAGATTTTCTCCCCTCGTCTTGTCCGAGTTGGTTTCCTGCCATAGATCCCAGCTTTTAAACACGGCCGACAAACTTTTAAAATGGTTAGTTAAAGGATTGAAAGGGTCAATGTCCTGTTGGAAAACCCAATTGAGTTTCAACCATCTAGTTATTAATTTCAAGTGAAGTTAATGCATTAAATATTACTCTTTATTCTACATATGTTCTATTCTATGTACTTTCATTTGCAGCCAAGTAGCAGAACCGTTGCATCCTCTGAGCCTTTTCATCCGGAGGACAAACTGCATTATTTTGGAGGAAAGTCGTTCTGGATCAGAGCCTTCTCAGTCATCTAAGTTCTGATTTTTTGGTGATGGTTTTCCATAGGGTTGACTGAGCTGAAACAAGCATGCGCAGTTGGGCGCAATTTAAGCTTCAGGAATGTCACCAACATCTAACCAACTCTGATTTAAAAACACAGCCTAATATCAGATAATCTTCCAATCTTTATCAACTCCATCAGCAGGTGTGGTCAAATTTGCCGCCACAATGAAGCTGATAGGTGGCTTCAAAACACAAATGGGAGCAACATACCAAGGAAGGTTTTTTACACATCTAAGCCTGTAGGAATAATTTACATTAGAGAAAATCAAGAGTAAAATAAAACTTTTGGGTCGACTCTTGCTTTCACTGTAATATAATCACATTGTCACGGAAATAATAAAAAGCCTAAATGAATAAGACATCTGGCCATGATGAATATTTTCCCACTTCAGCTAAATCCTTTTCCATCACATTAACCATTACTTCTGTTCAAAGTTTTTTCTATTCTAGTGCAGAGATCGTTTCAGCTTCTGACCCATCAAATATTACCAGGATGGAGTCACGACTCAGATTTGGGTTGAATATTCACACATTTCTACAAAATCAATTAAAAATAGTATAAAATGATACAAAAAAACAACAACTAATGCATCTGCAATTGCCTATTTCTAAGGGATGTTTTCCTCTCTTTAAAAACTATCACATAAATATAAATCATATTTATTATAATAGTTTTTGTTTATTCAGTGTAGAGGATCTCAGGAGCCCATGCCCACAGATCTATGACCCCAAAAGGGGCCCTACCCTGACATTGAGAGCCAATGCTTCTGGTCTTTAAACAGGTTTAAATTTAACAACTGGAAGCAATGAAAACATATTTCTAGGGGAAAAATCAAACATTATAAACCAAAAATACAAATCCTGCATATATATGGTTTAAAAAGCATTTTGGTAAAATTTAAATACAATAAATCGGGTGATAATAATGAGTCTTAATATCCTGAACATGGGATACTTTAGTATTAAATTCTAAACGTTTTAGGAGGAAGTGGCTGTGAGTCAGCAGAAATCCCTCTAGCAGTTTTGCTTTGAAGAGGATCTCAGGTTGCCTAAATTTTTAATGATGTTAAGTGAGCCAACCTCTGCCCCCCAGGGCCAAAGCTGCAGCTCTTCTCTTCTCGCACAGCTTTAAGCTGGGTAAGCTGTGCAGCTTTCTCCATATCCAACTCCAACCCCATTATGCTCTGCTTTTCCTTCAGCTGGGCGATTTGCTCCTGCTGCTCTTTCAGGAGCTTCCTCTGTTGTGCGATGATCTGCTGCTGGACAGCCTTTCTGCTTTCGGACCTGCATTCTGAGCCAAGAACCCTATTTTCTCTGGTTCTTCCATGGGCATGGTGTAGCTGTGCAGTGGTGGGTGCTGTATGGCGCCGGGTCACCTGCCACGGTTGAAGAGGCCGGCCCACCTCAGCCACAGAGTTTTTATCCTGATGTCCATTGGAGGCATTGAGGACTTCATTCTCTGCTGCACAGGGATCCTTCAACAGAAAATATTGCAGACATGGAGAAAAAAAAACATGCATCCTCTAAAACTTCTCCAACAGTGGTGCCTTAAAAAAAAATCACTATAAAGTTAATTGACAACGAACACGAATGACTCAACAGGAGCGAGTATTTGTCAATACGTTGTCATTTTATCCCAATGAATAGGTGAACTCGGGAGCTAAAGATGTGTTTAGCAATGCAAACTGTGCGATTAGTGTAAACAGGAAGAACAAAAGTGAACTGAAACCTGTTATGAATGCAAAGCGAATGTGGCTGTGACGTAGGGTGAAAAAGCAATTAGCTCTGTGAATTATGATGCAGATTGCTGTGATGAAAGATGTCTAGGAGAAAGTTACAGGAAAGTAAGCCATAATGGATCCCTGCTGAAGGATTCTATTACAAGGCTTATCGAAAGAAAGTTGAGTGGAAAGAAAAAGTGCAAGAGTAACAGCAAAATCCAATTATGTTTAAGTCATGCTTATAGTACTAGAGTCACAAAAAAAAAAATATTATTGGGTCAAAATGTGCTGTTTTTGTTCCTGTAGCAACTGTTGCATTTCTCACCTTGGCTCCTGTATATTCTTTGCTCCTGAGCTCCTGTTGGAGACTTACTGCCGAATCAGCAGGTGCTGCTATGACCGGGAGTTTTCCTGTAGATGCAGCGTTGATCAAGGCACCCATCTTAGCTTTGGTCTCATGCTGCTGGGCCAGTAGTTCTCGCTGGGATTTCTCTGTCCGACACCAGAGCTGCCACTCGTTCAAAAATCGCCGCAGCAAACGTCTTCGGTCGCTTTCCACAGCCAGCTGGTTTTGTCTGAAATGCCATGGAGATTTGCCCATAAAACAGAAATCTCTTTTACTTCAAGCAGTCATACAGTATCAAACCATGATGGATGGAATTTTTTGTCCAGGAGAACCACTGAGTATTCCTCCAGCTCTGCTGGGTGATGCCCGAGGCTCTCCCAGGCCAGCCGAGAAACATAGTCCCTCCAGCATCTCCATTATAACAGCAGCCCCACTGAGCCGTCACTCAATCTCCTACTCCATTCTATCCTTACTTAACACAAGACCCCAAGATACTAGAGCTCCTCTATTTAAGGCAGGAACTCACCCCCAACCTGAAGGGGATAAGATACCTTTTTCCAGCTGAGGTTGTGTCTCCCAGGGCGAACAGGCTCTGGGTGACGGGTCAGCAAAGAGCAGTTCAAAAACCCCATTAATTAAAAAAAAGAAAAGGGGCACCATGCTGGTGAAGATTCTCAGTCATCCAGGTCATAGTCACTCTGAAAAAGTTTAAAAAAACATTCCACTGGACTTTTTTTTCAAGGTTTGAAAACGTTTTGGGGTTGAGGATTAGCGGCGAACACCTGGTGGTCGTGTTCTTCCTTGCGATACCTGGCTGGGCTCAGCCTGAAGGAGCGTCGCAAAGCTATCCTCCAGTAGGCTCACCACCTGCAGGGGGAACGTGAGGGCCCGTAGCAGAGAGGATTGGGAAGCAGGCAGTGCCGGAGGCAACCCAATACACAGGCAACACAGAGTAAAGAAAGAAAAAAGGAAAGGAAGGATCTCTTTATAGTCCTTCATGGAGGAAATTTGTTCCCTGTTTTTAATATATCCCTTAGTCAGCAGTGGTACATGGTGAGCAATCTGGGGTTAAAGGTCTTACTCAGAAAACCAGAATAACACTCCAAGCTTGCCCTAAAGGATACAAACACCCTGCTTGCCACCCATTAAGCCACCCTTCCACACAGCAGTGTAAAGAGTGCAGGGATGTTAAATGATGAACACTTCTAAATCTTTATGAATTAAACCTAAAAAGGTTTGGCATTCTTTGGAAACCAGAGCCTCTGAGTCAATGTTTTTTTAACCCTCTTTGGCTGCCAATTCAGACACGGATCCTTTGGGTTTGTTTTTTGTGAGCTTTCTAAATGTTTACTGCAGCATAGCTCTGACTGCATGGAGATCATCTAGTTTCCCAGATCCTGCCACAGAATTTCAATTGGCTTTGACTGGCCTATTGCTAATAAATACACAATCTGAAGCATTTCATTTTAGCTCTGGCTCTATGTTTTGAGTTGTTGCCCTGATGAAAATTAACCCCTGCCTTATATCTAAATATTTTCACAGCTTCTAAAAGGTTTTAAATCCATTTTCCCCACAGCTACGGTTGGCCAATAAAAAAAAAAAATTATAGCACTAAATGCTGATTAATACGACAGAAAACACTTCTTAAAGTATGTTGCATAAGTTAACTGAGCTCAAATCCAGAACTGCATGGCATTCTGAGATGTAAGCAGAAGGAAGGACTTAGTCACATAACCGCTCATGGCCAAGCTAAGCAATGTTAGTGGTGGTGCTGATCTCTTTTTAAAGGATAAAGTTAAATTAGGGTTAGAATTTAAATTCAGCCTTTTTTTCAAAATGTTTCTATATATCAACTGATAGAAAAACACTTAAATTCTGATAATTCTTCAGCTATAATTATACAACATACCCCACAGCGTTTTTTGGACAAACTAAACAGCTTTATGTGAATCTGATCAACTTTTTCAGAGCTTTATCCCTGAAGCAACTACTGTGTTCCTCGATCATAATGATGCTCTTTGCTTTCGGAGCATCACAACAAAGGGGAGCTAAGTTTATATGCATGCAAAATTTTTGTAATATTTACAGGTAAAAGTAGTAAAAGTAGTCAAAATATTGAAAGTAACGTTTCTTTTTTGTTTTGAGTTTTTTTAACGGCACTAGTGGCTCGTTTTTTTAAGTGTTTAATACAGCAGCATGAATGACCAACTTTCAATGCTGTATTTGCAATCAGCAAACGCTCCTGCTGTGCGACTAGAAGTTATCACATTAAGTGGTTATTAAAAATTTAAAGTGGTTGTTTTACACAACCTCATTTAATCATGTTTCCAAATTAGTAGGACTCCTGCAGATACTACAGATTAACTAACATCTCTCTCAGAATCAAAAGATGTATTTTCATGAAAAGCACAGATTTTTTTCCCTTTCAAAGAGGGAAAAAAAAGAGAAGGTTCTGGTATTTAAGTTTGTCAAGCAGCTTAGTCAAAATATATTTTTTTTCATGGTTTGCATTGCTGCTAGCTTTTCAGCATCACATATTTGGCAAAAAAACGATAAGGTACATAATTTATATCACCATACAAAATGTAACACTTTTAAATTGTAAACGATTTCCTGAAATCATATTTAAAATTTTGCAACTGATCAACTTTTTCAGAGCTTGATCCCTGAAGCAACTACTGTGTTCCTCAATCTTAATGATGCTCTTTGCTTTAGGAGCATCACAACAACAAGGGGAGCTGAGTTTATATGCATTCAAATTTTTTGTAATATTTACAGGTAAAAGTAGTAAAAGTAATCAAAATATTGAAAGTAACGTTTCTTTTTTTTTTTTTTTGAGTTTTTTTTTTGAACGGCACTAGTGGGTCGTTTTTTTAACAGTAGGCTGACAGGAAGGGGGGTACAAGAGATGGGGAGAGACATGCGGCAAAGGACCATAGGCTAGATTCAAACCAGGGTTGACCACGTCAAGCACTAAGGCCTCCGTACATGGGTTGTGTGCACTAACCCCTGTGCCACAGAAGCACATTCAGAAAGTAACATTTCTATGGCAATAATTAACCGTGTGTTTGGATGCTTCAAATAAAATCAAACTACACACATGGAAAAAACTGATCCATGAATATTTTGACAAGACCCTGTATAATGTTTTGTGTGTCAAAAGCAAATGGGGGACCTTTGACCTTGGTATAAGAACTGCTTACCTTTTCTCTGTTCGTAGTTGCTCCTCGGTTCTTGCCGCCTCTCGCTGATTATGCTCCGCCCACACCACAGCTCGCCATGCCTGCCATGCTTTCAGCTGCCTCCTCCAATCACAAAGGGCCTCTGCTTTACCTATATGTAAGCGCCGCTTTAACACCAAAGAGTACCATCCGGACAGATGCCTGTGTAGACACTAACATGCACAATCGAAATAAATATTTGTGGTTGAAACAAGATTCCCAGACTTGTCAGAGAACTCATATAATGCACAGAACAGGAACCAACCTTGAGATTGATCATGTCTATTCTCGTTTGAATCCTCTGCTCTCGCTGTAGTTGATTGCAGTTCTGCAGCTGCTGCTTTGAGGGAAGCGTTGGGGTTGACTCAACACTTCTGCATGCCCTTTGTACCTTTTTCTCCTTTTCTCTAGAAACCAATTAAATATATGTTTCTTTTAATTTAAGGATTTTATTTTGGACATGGATTTGTTTCCCCGTCTTCAAATCAAAGAAGAGCTTCAGAGCGTGAGACCAGGATTAATTTAACGCAGCTTCCTGCATGTTTTAAGACACATAATGCCTTAGTACCACTGTATGGCAACAAATACTTGGATCTACACCATATTGGTAAGAGTATTTGCTCAACCATCTAAATAAATCAGCTGTTCTGATAGCTATTTTTAGCACCTTAACTTCAAAGAAATAAACCCTGAATGCTTCAGCATACCAAGATTTTAGAGAGTCTCATGCTCCAAACACTTTGAAGGTAGATCCTTCCCCTCACAGGTGCACAAAGCAAGGTCCAGCAAGATGTGGACGAGAAAGTTTGGTGTGGATGAGCTTGACTAGTCTGCACAATGTTCTGACCTTAAACTGGTAGAACACATTTTAGGTAAACTAAAGCGGAGACGGAAAACGAGGCCTTCTTGTCCAACATCAGTGTATGACCTCAGAAATATGCTTGTTGGAGATGAGTCAAAAATTCCCATAAAGATATTCTTAAACATGTGGACAGCCTTCCTAGAATAGTTGAAGCTGTTATAGCTGCAGAGAATGAACCAAGGCAGATAAGCTTAAACTTTTGGCAACATCGGGTATTTTAAGCACATATGTCATATTCTTAATTCAAATATGACCACCTGGTTCAATGATATAGATAGGGTCAGATCCCACAGCAAAATACCCAATCAGGAAGAGACATACCTTAGTCGAGCAAAATGCTCCTGGCTCTTCTTTTCCTCCTTCAGTTTTCTCAGTCGAATCATCTCCTGCTGCACCATTTCCTCTTCTCTATGTTCCTGTTGCTTCCTCCTCATCTCCTCCTCTTTCTCCCTCCTCTTTGCCTCCTTCCTGGCATCGCGCTGCTCCTCCTTCTCCATCTGTTTCCTCTGCTTCTCCGCCTCCCGACGTGCCCTGTTCTCTCGTACCTTGAGCAGTAACCAGCAGAAGCATCCAACTCAAAGCAGGAGGAACTGAACCTACGGTGTCTTGCAGAAGTATTCGCACCCCTTGAGCCTTTTCACAACTTATTTTACGGGGAGAAACATTGGGGTGATTTTAATGACATTTTAAGTAACAGACCTACACAAAGTGGCTGGTTTCTGAGGAGGGATGAAAATGATAAAAGCTATTCAACATTTTTAGAAGATAAAAGTTTATAAAGGGTAGCATTAGTTTAAGAAAACATGACTCAATTGTATGCATAAGTTTACACTTCAATTATGTTTGGAAGTCTGTTAAAGTATCTCTCTAGCAGCACAGATCTACTGAATACATTTTGTGCTAATTATTTTAAGAAAAAGATCTCATGCTCAACAAGACTGGATTATTTTGTTGTCATTATGAAAAGAAAAAAAAAACTGTTGTCACCTTGTACTTTTAATTGGTCAATTTTGGCCCTTGATGCAAAAGGTTTGGGCTCAGCTGATTTGGGTCCATTGTCCATCGGTTTTTCTTTATTTCAAAAATTTTAAGACTCATCTCATCTGACCATAGTTTCTCCCTTCACATGTCCACTGTAACTCTGCATGTCAAACTGCAAATGGGACTCCTTTTGAATTTTCTTCAACAATATCTTTCTTGTTAATTTTTTTAAAATTAAAAATCTTCTACTTTATTTATTTATTTTTATTCTTCGGGGCTGGGGATCTTAGACCTTGGGATCTCTTCCTTATGAGCCTCTTGGTTGATCCTCTTGTTCAGTGATTACTAACCGCGGTTAAGTGTACCCCTAGAGGTCCGCACATGCATTGCGAGGGGTACATGAAAATATTTTATTTCTTAGGTTGTAAAATAAAACAGGGCTATGTGACGACCCAACTGAATAATTAAACAAGCTTTTATAAACCAAAGTAAGTTTTTCTTATATGTTTGAGTTCACCTTCAGTTTGGACTCACATCTAAACCAAGCAGAAGAACAGACTGGATGTAGAGAGGAGCTCCAGTTTTATAAATAAAGGTTTAAAATAGGATTTTATTTTCTATTTATTTCAATACCTTAATAACTTCCAGGAAACATACTTAAGTTGTTGTTTTTTTTAGTTGAGATCGAAAGAATAAAATGCATAAGAATTAAATGCTCAGGTTAAAAGATTTAATAAAATAATTTTTGTTTTATAATAATTTATTGTGCGTTCTACTTTTGGACAATCATCAATACTTTTGACTGAAGGGGGTTCTCATGGTAAGACAAAATACCAAAAGGGGTACACAACTCAAACAAGGATGGTAAACAATGCTCTAGTTCAGGGGTCATTAACGTTTTTCAGGCCAAGGACCCCCAAACTGATGGCAAGATGGAGCGGGGACCCCCTAATTACATATATTGTATGAAATTGTATTATATCAATCTGGTCCTATAATCACTCTATTACAGATGGAGTAATGTAACAAAAGTAATTTCTCCCTGGGATTATTAAAGTATTTCTGATTCTGATTCATGGTTGATGGGACAGGTGTTGTGAATGAAACGGTGCCCAGCTTGAAAGAGCTCCTGTGTGTCGCTGAATGTGTGCATTGATGATAAAAAGACATCTTCTGCCTCCATTTATCTGTTAGTACAGTGTGTGGAATTCATGTTAATGTATATTTAAACATATTTCAGTTATTGGAAAAATTGCAGGTGGGAATATAAGAAAAAAAAGTCTAAAACTTTCGCGACCCCCATGCAGTACCTCCATGGACCCCCTAGGGGTCGCAGACCTCCTGTTGACAACCTCTGCTCTAGTTATTGTCCTTCCTATAATCTTAATGTTGATTGTAGACGTTGTTTATATACAATGGATCTCTATCAAACAAAAGCATATTTAAATACATTCTAGTTTTAGGCAGATGTGAGGAAATGTAAGAAATTTCCCTGAATATTTGGTATACTTCTGCGCCCATTTGTCAGAACAAACACAGACCTGTTGGTGTCGAGCTTCCATGGTTACAATGGGGTTTCTGAACCTCTTGAGCCTTTCTCGATCATCCAGAGATAACCCCTTCTTCGTACCGGAGTCCAGCAGCTCTTGGCCCCTTAGGTCTTGAAGGAAGCTCTGAACAGCAAATTGTTCTTCTTCTTCAACCAGGCAGCTATAAAGATCTGATACAAGATTTGGAACAATAATGTTATTTTTTCCAAAAGTCATTTTTTTTCAGCTAATTAAACTGATTTATGTCCATTTTTTGTCTTCCAGTGCCAGCTAATATCTGCAGGAGACAGAAAAACATTCAAATCTATAAATCTGCTGAATTAAAAACAAAAATATTTACCGTCAAATCTTTTGTAAGCGATTGGAGTCAGTTGGGGACAAGCTATGGCAGTAGATTGCGTGTTTTCAACATGACCCTTCTGGTCATCTTTATCCTCCATGTCCAGCTCTGTCCGTAACTTATCACTCAGCCAATTATCTAAAAGAGCCTGAGCTACAACACACAGTGAAGCTTAAGCCAAACCAAAAGACTAATTTCTTCAGATTTTTGAAAATTGGTAGAATTATTCACAAGAAATTTCACAATCACTCAAACCTCAGTGTTTTCTATAACCTGACCTACCTTCACTGTAGGCGTCATCATGATCCATCAACTCTTCAGAGCTTTGCAGCAGTTCAGCTCCTCTGTTTACCCCTGATTGAGGCTTCCTAAGGGAGAAGACTTCAGATATAGCAAACTCAGAGGCCATCTCCACCCGCTGAGGACATAGACAAGAGTAATGAGATGTATGAATGCAGCTAAAAATAAAGACAGCCCTAAATATAGAGAAAAGCAAATGACTTTGACATAGCAGCTTAATGAAAGAGATGGAAAAGTCTCACCTTTCTCCACTCCTCAATGTCATCTTTCTTCACAAGTTTCTGTTACAAAAGGGCAAACCGTAAATATATACCTTCAGGTAAAATCGGAAACTGAAAGAAATCCAAGGCTCATTGTCATGTTAGCATTTTTTGGGAAATCCACACACGAGCTCAGTGACACCTTGAACTGCTGATGTAGTGTGCAAATTATGGGCTGAGGCAAGGCCCTGATGTCTGTGGATTATTTCACAGGAAAGCTCAGCTGCTGCCTTAAACCCACAGATTACCCCAAAAATCATTTCCCAAACTTCAAAAGGTGAACGGATTACCGGTAGCAATTCATCTATCTCAGTCTCCGGCAGCAAGGGTGTACGGATGTAGGAGTGAGAGTATCTGACAATAGACCTTAGAGATACTCAATATTCACTTAGCAAACCCTACACGTCTGCATATTCTAGCTCTATAACGTCCTTATCCTTCCTTTACTATTTAGATTCATGTACAACCGCTTGAAAACTATTCATACCTCTTGAATTAAAAAAAAGAATATTTTAAGGTTTACCTAGAGGTAGAGTGATACATTGACCGGCTGATATTTCACATTAATATTCGCATTTCTTTCTTGCATTGATATCAGCCGATACATGCCTGCATTCATTGGATCATTAGTGCATTCAGCAGCCATGCCTTGAGACCACATGAAGCACATGCACTGTTGCTTCCTCCTTTTGCAATCCATTGCTACCTCTGCCAAGGAGGTTGTTTTTAGGAGATTGTGTCTGTCTGTCTGTGTTTGTATGAGTGTGTGTGTGTGTACCTGTCTAGCCTTCAGAGAGAGGACCATTTTTCCAATTTCACCATCAGAGTGAGGACCATTTGTTGCAAAGTGATTATGTTTTGTTGGTCCTCACAAGCTATTTTGCTAATGGTTAGGTTAAGGGCTAAAGTGTCAATTGGGTTAGGGTGAGATATGCATTGATGATGGTTAGGTTTAGGTGCAGGAATACTAGGGTTAAGGCATAGAAAGAGTTGAAAATGAAATAAATGAAAATCAATGGAAGTCAACACATGGTCCTCACTACATTTAGCGGAACGAGTATCTGTGAGTGTGTCTGTGTCTACAGGATAACTTGAAAAGTTATGGAGAGATTTTAATTACATGTCTATCAATCCATCACATTTTGGTGATGATCTAGATCATAATCCGGATACAGCCACTCTTTAAAACGATTCTCTAACATTGTGAGATACGGATATCTGGTGGAACACGAAGTTCCCCACTAAACCAGAGGGTGACAGCAGTGACCATTGACAGCCTCAGCATTGGACTCAAAAAGTCTGGAGGTATTTTACTAAAGAGAAATCACAAGAAAAGGGAACATTTTTGTTTTGGTAGTAGCATCAATTGAAAACGTTAGAATGGATTTTATGGAAATGTTTTACCAGAGGTGTGGCTCAAGGCAAAGAACAATTAATTTCTATTTGATAATGATCCAGATCATTTGTGAGTTTTAGCTTTGAGTGCAAGTCACAATATGGGGCAAAATTTGCTGCTTGTGGGAGGTCTGCACTCTGCAAGTTTGTTTCTAGTTTATGTTTTATTCGTTAATAAATGTCAATTTTTGGGTTATATTGAGACTTGTGTGACTTTTCATAATAATTTTTTCATATTTATCATGTAAAAGGTGAAAGAAAAAGCAGTATTGGCTTAAAAAAAACATCAGATGAAAGAATTGGGAGCCCATATTGTGGATGAGTTAGACAGATATCAGAATTATCAATATCAAGCCTAAAAAACCTGTATGGCACGGGTTGATCTGAAACCAAAACACCAATACATTTCAGGTTTTTTTCTTTGAGACTGTTGAACAGTTAATCTCTTAACTGGACTCTACATTACACTCATAACATTATTTTACAACACCATTGTGGCTTAAACTTTTATAATCCTTTAAAATAAGACACAACTCAATGTTCTACTGCATTTTGCACCATATTCATTTTGCACTTCACTGAACCTTTCCATATGAATGCCCTTTTGCGCCATTATTTTTATTTTTTTTTTACCGGTTTTTCTTTTTTTTGGATTTTTTTTCGTTGTTGTTCTTTGTTGCCTTTTAATTGTTATTTTTCTTTCCCTTTTTTTACTTTTTTTTTTCCTTTTTGGAGGTTTTAGGCCCGTTATTTTGTTTTTTATGGTGTATACAAAATGGCAATAAAGTTTAAAGTCTAGAGTTACATTTGATTGATCTGTTTCAATATTAAAATGAGCAGTTCCATTTTTCTGTCTAGCTTTTCTCTATCTGCCTTCATTATACCACTGTAGTGTACTTTTCTCTGCGTTTTCTTTTCTTATGTGCGTGTGTAGGCTGCAGTACTTTGGATTGTACTGTTAATTAAATGTGCCCTGCAAATGCCTTGACCTGTTGCAGAATAGGGAGTAAAATGTGAGAACAAACCTTTATTTTTCTTGTCTAGATGAGACAGCGATTAAGTTATATGAGAATGCTAAAAGGCAGTTTTAATTAACTGTTAATAAAGCTTACCTTGTTTGGAGAAACGAGTCTTTTCCACCTGAACAAGTGAGACTTTTGACCTGTTGACATCTCACCAATTTACACACCAACAATAAACTACAATGCGAACTTTCATCCTCTTCTAGACTTTTTTACTTTCACCGTGAACTTAAATACATTTTTGTAAAGTGAAATTAGATGGAAAAAGTAACAAACGAAAACCAACGGCGCAAACCTAACTAACGCAAACTTCGATGGCAAAGGATTCTGGGTAATGGAGTGCCACAACTTTTTGCTTCCGATTGATTTATTGGGGTAATAAGAACTTTTGGAACTACATCTCCCAGTGGACTTTACTGACTCTGACACGCTAACAGGTGTTACCACGGCAACGATGTTCACCTCTGCGAAATTCTTGAAAAGTCTATGTGCTGGTAAATGAGTAAACATACAGACAGAGCAAGTTGCCGGTCAGTTATATTGTAATGACTACAGCCGATAAAGTTGGATCAGCGAGAGGATTCGGTCGTTCATCAGTGACGTCACGGCCTAGATTCAAATAACTGTAAAATAAAGTGATTCGCTCAAATTTTAGTATAAGATGTACCCAATATTTGATATACCAAATATCACATTTATACTCTTGACCTTTTGCATGCCTTGATTTTATTTATTTATTTTTTTTTACATTCAGTTTAAATATCCCTAAGGGAGCTTAAATGTAACCATGCAGGTATCTGTAAGGAATCATTGTAGCAAGAAGTTCTGTGGAAAGAATGGACCTTTTGTAGGAGTTTCTGAAGACATTCTTCTAGTATAACAACCTGATTCATGGTAGAATTACATGTTTTCCTTCTTTTGCACAATCATCTAGAAAGGTTGAAGAGGAGTTCCCAGGAAAGAGCCAGTCTTTTAGTTGAGTTTTTTTCAAGTCACTCCCCCAGCAAAAGGAAAAGATACAATCTGATTAAAAAATGCAAATTATTTCTATACAGAACCTTTTTAAAATACTAATATAGGATTAAATAAAATGGTTACGAGAAGCATTTCTATGGCATTCTCATTTTTATAGTTGCTAGGCCTACTGCATACAAGGAGAACCCAGTTGTTAGTCTTTTTTTTTTATTAATCAGTTTATCCCCTAGGAGAATTTTTTATTTTTTGCACACACAAAAAAGTACACGAACAATATAGAACATTAACAATTACAAACATATAAAACAACAAAGGGCTTCACAGAACAGAACTATTATTTTAAAATGTTAAAATCAAATCTATGCTCGAGGGTTATAGTTCTTTAAGGCTGTTATAATTTGCATGGCTTTAGCATTTGAACTAAATTTTAAGGATTCTATATAGATATTAATAGATGATAATGAAATCTGGAAATTAGTTTTTAGTTATAAATATTTGGAGGTGTGAATGTGATATTTACCATAAACAAAAATAAAAAATAACATATACAACTTTTTTTGACAAGTTCACATTTCTTCATCCCAAACAAAACATCCTTTTCTGTTAAAGTAATGTTAAGATTTATTTTATGAAAAACATTTGACATATCTCTCCAGAATATTTAGGTATAATTACAGTCTCCAAAAGATGAATAAGCTTTTCTTCATTATTTTCACAAAAAGTACACATTGGGTCCAAATCCCATTTATCCCTAGAAGAACTTGCCACTCACAATATGGCNTATAATTTGCATGGCTTTAGCATTTGAACTAAATTTTAAGGATTCTATATAGATATTAATAGATGATAATGAAATCTGGAAATTAGTTTTTTGTTATAAATATTTGGAGGTGTGAATGTGATGTTTACCATAAACAATAATAAAAAATAACATATACATTTTTTTTTTTGACAAGTTCACATTTCTCCATCCCAAACAAAACATCCTTATCTGTTAAAGTAATGTTAAGATTCATTTTATGAAAAACATTTGACATATCTCTCCAGAATTTTGGTATAATTACAGTCCCAAAAAGATGAATAAGCTTTTCTTCATTATTTTCACAAAAAGTACACATTGGGTCCAAATCCCATTTATCCCTAGAATAACTTGCCACTCACAATATGGCATACGTGCTGACGTTTCATCGCCATAACGTCATATTTCCCCGACTTGTTCGCTCTACGAATTTTTAGTGGTAAGCCGAAAACGTATCTTTGAGAATAACAAATATTATTGTTCTAAACGTGCTACTTGAACACATTATACTCTAAATTAAACATATTAACTTAGTAAACGCTTTTCTCGCGCCGTAACTTTCGTGTGACAAAGCTAACTAGCTAGGTAGCTAATGTCCATGCTTCAGTGTTGCTTTTGAGGTATTTTTAATGAGCCTGTAGTGATGGCTGGCAGCAGGATGAAGCTGGATCTGTCCAGAGTTGTCCAAGGAAGGGGTCGCCTGGGTCTCCTGAAGGAGGTAGGGAGGATGGGGCAACACTCGGTGGATATTCCTGGATGTCTTCTGTACACGCACCTGGGTAGCGTCCCCCACCTCACCCAGGACACCCTGCACACCATCAGCTGCCTCCCCGCAGTCACTCATGTCACCCTATCCAACATGTAAGCTGGACCTCTGACACACTTTCCATTTCACAACCCTGGTTGCTTCCCTAAAACTCACCAGCATCTCTCTGCAGGGCAGAGCACCAAGAAGTGCTGGAGGAGTTTAAAGGCGGATTGAAGAAATTTGCAGGTACACATTTTGTTATTTTTATTAACTTCCCTTTTTATGTAAGGATCCTGTTATTACAGGTAATCATGAATGTTAACTGCTGAGCTGTCATGACTGCACCAAAGACAAAATAAATGTATAAGCAGTGGTGTCAAAAGTACACACATTTGTTACTTAAGTAGAAGTAAAGATACTGCAGTTTAAAAATACTCTGGTAAAAGTTGAAGTATCAACTTGACCTCTTTACTCAAGTAAAAGTGAAAAAGTATGTGCTCCAAAAACTACTGAAAGTATAAAAGTTTAAAGTAACCTTAAAAAAAAAAAAAACATCCAGATGCCACTATATTAATTGAAAGCTTGATTTTTTCGACTATTTAGAAAAATTCTTTGAGATAGGGCCAAGGATGAGGGAGGTCTTGTTGGTCTCCATCTCCCGATACGCTCTCACCTGTGCCCGACCTTTCAGACATTTCAACGTCTTTTTCTGATTCCAACAGTGTAGCATGGCATAGACAATTCACGTTTGCAGTTTAAGGAACTCCTGCTTGCTTCTGATGATTTCCTTTAGCTAACCCATGAGTGTTTGCGTTATATGACGTGGGTGGCGCCAATGATCTGCACTGGATGGCGCACATGACCTGAAATATATATTTATAAACAAGTATAACTAATGAAGTAAAGTATAGATACCTAAAAAGGGTACTTAAGTACAGTAACAAAGTAGTTGTACTTCGTTACTTGACACCTCTGATAAGTAAATAATATGGTATGCGCTGAAACAGAAAACACAAGTGATAGATCTATTGGACCATTTTATGTATTTTTTTTTTTTTCATTTTTAGTTCCCTGATGATTTAAAAAATAAGTTTTTGCACTTCAAATTTCATTCATATTGAGATTGGATCATAGTTTTTATCTTTTAGATCCGAGGTTTCCGGAGCTGCAAGTGGCTCTTTCACTCAAATGATATATATAAAAGGATGAAGTTTTGCCCTATTTTTTAAATTTCTTTTTTGGTGCCCCCATAACACCCCCACTTCCTAGTACATTTAATCTAGAACCGCCACTGGCTTTACCACATACTACCCGAGCCCATGTGGGTTGGGGTTATAAAGCTTATTTGGATCATATTATCCCAAAATGCTTATTTCTAATTAATTATCCTTTTGCTGCTCGAGTTGGGTACCAGGCCTACATCACGCTGAAAGGTAAAGTTGATTAAGAGATGGATGGATGCATTATCTGATATAAGTATGTGTATGTTTTATAAATTCTAGTATATTTTATTTGTTTTGGGGAGAAAACCCCCAGCCTAAATCCAAAATAAAAGGATGGATGGAAATGTTTAGCTTCTCAAGGTTGTCATTGAATGCAATAGATTCAATCTTTTTTGAAATACATTTTAAGACCTAAAATAAGGAACTATTTCATTCCTTTTATACCTTTTTCTCCCTTGCTCTCTTACTTGCATCCTTCTTAGCATCTTTACTATCATGCATCTCATCTCGCTCCCCATGCCCTCATTTCTCTTTCTCTGAGTCCTTCCTTTTCCTCTTTGCTTATATTCATTCATCCATCTCAGAATCAGCTTCCTCTCTGTTCATCCACCCTTCTTTGCTTATAATGCTACTTTCTTCCATTCTTTTCTACTTCCTTTCTTCCCACCATTTGTTATTCTTTCAGTGCTTCCTTGAGCCTTATGTAATTTGCTTATATTCATTCTTCATGCTCTGTGTCCTTCCCTTCTTCGTCTTTCATCCTTCTGTCTGTTGGTAGCAGGTGCCGCTCTGCCATCTTTATTCACCACAAAGTGAATCTTTGCATTTTGAAATGAAAGATTATCAGAAACAGTTCTAAGAAGTCTGGAATTGTCTATATATGAAATTTAAAGAAACTGTATAGGTAGGTATAGAGAAATATCTTGGAGAAATACTGACTTTTCTCTTAAACTCCACTAATAAGTAGGTAATTTCTCATTAATTAAATCAACTAGAAGTTTGACCCTTTTTGACTTGTTGGTCTTTGTGGTGCTAAACCTTTAAGAAGTAAATGTAAAAAGTAGAAATATAATCGCCCCTTCATTTCATGTAAACTGTAAGGACTTACTACAGTGTTTGTGTCTAAAGCTGCAGAAAGGAAGAGCACTGATTTAATTAGTAGAAATTATAATTGGAGCTTTTTCTTTCTTCACCTTCTGATCCTCTGCTGCAGCTGGCTTTGCTGATAAGTTCACGTCGTCACATTAACATGCACTAATGGAGCCCGTCAGCTTGCTTCTGGCTGTCGGATTCATTTAAAAGTTTGTTCCAACTGAATGATCGCAGGGCTTCTGTTATTCAGGCCTTCATGATACGGTGTTGTACTGCTCACTTCATGACCCTGCAGCCCACTGCCCAACGGGCCACACCACAAACAAGGTGAGTTGCCTCTCCTGGAAGAGTTTGATTCTCACTGAGGCATCCAAGAAAATCACAGGTTTAAAATGTGATTATCTCCACCTGATCAGACGGTGTCAGTATGGGGCAGCGGTGGGCGGATAGAGCTGACGGCGGCTAAGTTCATGGCCCTCCAGAAGACGGTGCAGCCAGACTGGTACCAGAGCATGGCGGATGGGGAGACCTGGCAGACCGGCACGTCTCGAAAAAGGGTGCGGAAGTCAGTGGACCGAACTTTAGCTCATTTGGATGAGTGTCTGACGGTGCATCAGAAATCCCAGGTATGCGCATTTGGCTGTGAGCAAAAACTTTTGGAGTCAGTCATGCAAGGAGTTAAAAAAAAACCTCAGATAAGACATGGATTGATTGTTTGGTAGCTGTCTCAGCCGCCTTGCAGCTGAGCTTCTGCTGGGAAAAACATCAAGATTAGGTTGAATACATTACAGCAGATGTGCAAGCCTGCAGCTCTAAAAATGACTGATCAGTTCCCACTTTTTCTCACGAATAAATGTCGCCCTTTTCTCACTGAGTAAAGCTCCTATCAGCCACCAAAGCGTTTCTGTTTGTCTGTATTAATGTGTTTTTCTAGGGTTTTTCTGCTCTTTATCTTGCTCTTTCTTGCCTGACTGCCAAACAACTGTTCTTTGACACAATAAAGTGAGAAATCATGTAGAGCAGAGGGAACTGACAGATATTGCAGGTAATTTTTTTTATCTGGCTTATAACCAGTGAGCTGTGAGATTGCTGCCAAGTTCCCCAAACCCCCCTAGTGTGTCTGTTCTCATCATGATGTGCAACTGCTTGTTGAGTAATCAAAATCCAAATGGATAATTTATTGGTTTCCTTTGAGGAATACATAAAAAAATCATCTCATCCATTGAATGTAATGATTTAAAAAAAAAAAAAAAAAAAAAAAGAAAAAGAAAAAAATTGTTTTTTTTTCTCTCTTTCCAGGACTTGGAAGGAGTCGATATTTTCGGGGTGGTGGAGGGAGGGGACATCTTGGAGGAGCGAGTGCGCTCTGCCAGGGAGACGGCCAAACGGCCCGTGGCGGGATTCTGCCTCGATGGCTTCCAGACTGGTGCTATGGATCAGGCCCTGAGGAGCCAGCTCATCACTGCTGTGACTCAGGAGCTGCCTGAGGATAAACCCAGGTAGGGCTGTCAGATCACTGATAGCAGTACTTTATTTTATCATTTCCAAGAAATCTAACAAGCCTTTAGGGTTCAAGTCAAAATAATTCTCTGAAAATAGTAAAACTGAGATAATAAACACAACACCTGGCAAAAGTATTTATCATTTTTGAACTTGTTTACTTTCTTTCACTTTAAATCTAAAATCTTCAATATGTTTTCTGTAGATTTTATTTTGCAGACCATCTTAAAGTATTATATAAGTGTTAAAGTATAGGAAAACAATGCTTGTTTTTCAAACAATGCTCACATTTAAAAAAAATGAGAAGCAATGTGCCCATTTGTAGTCCGCAGCCATGGAATAATTTCTCGTCTCTGCATTTAAAGCAGGAAGCATTTTACCCTGTATCTTCTCATTATAAGAGTAAAATCTTTCCCGGTTCATCTTGTAAAAATCGCTCATGTTCTATCAAGTCTAGATCTTTCTACCTCCGCTGTCTGCTTGATGCTCTTTGTTTACTAATATTATAAAAAAAACAAAAAAAACCAAGAACCTCACAGAATATCCGAGTTATTTTGGAGGGAATTATTTTTCAATACGTATGTCCTACGTGTCGTCGAAAGTGGAAGGATTTCATGCGCCATATTGTTCACAAACGCAACACTAGCCATCTGCTTTTATATATTGTGTGTGTGTGTGTACAATATATATATATATATATATATATATATATATATATATATATATATATATATATATATATATATATAATTTTCTTTTTCTTTGTTGGTGTAAGTGCTCTAAGTGGGTTGCTAAAACCATAATAAAAACTCCTCGCATATCTGATCTAAAGTGATTCTGCTTACCAACATTATGGTTACCAGCAGTGTAAGTCCTAGTATTTAATGTCAAATACTATCTAAAGATTGAAGAGATATTGCCAAATTGAACAACTTTACATGAAATTTGAAGATTTAAACAGTTACTTACCTAAACAAGGCCCAGTTAATACATCTTAATTGCGCTAAAAATGTCTTTAAGCCCTGTTTTCTTATTATACCAGAAAGAATAAGAGACCCAGCTGTATATTGATCATTTATTCTTCAGTATGCTGATAAAGATTCCCAGTCATCCAGGTCATAGTCATGAAGAATTTATTCTTCAGGTGACTGCACAGTATTTATATTTGTTAAAACAATATACAGTACAGTAATTAATTATTTTTATACACTTTTATACATTTTTTTTTTCTTTTTATACACTTTTAAGGTACACATTTGTGTGACCACTTTTGCTGTAATGCTGTTGTAAATGTCCCCATCGTGGGACAGTAAAGGGATTTTCTATTTCTATTCTATTCTAAGAGTCTGAGCAGGTTTTGATGGCAGGTGTCAGTTTGCTGCTCAAATTCTAGTTTTCAATCCAAAACTTAAGTTTCACCTTCAATATAATGAAGGAACTGATGGTGGATCAGAGTAGCAATGACATTTCTATTTTTTGAAATCAGGATTTCCTGTTTAGGTAACTGAGCCACAGAACCTGAGCGACACAACAACTTCTGTTAAAATCGTCTTGCGAGCCCAAAGCATTGAAATAGGATCCTCATGTTGTTAGATGAATGAACTTAAAATAAAGGTTGTATGTTTCTAGATTTAAAGGTGTGGGATGATGCTACTGGGATGAAAAGTCAATCTAGTTCTTTCTTTATAATTCAATCTATCTTTCTTCTTTTTCTTTTCTACTTCCTTACCAAGGGTGTCAGTCTGGCGCGGTTTAAAGCAGAACCTGGGAGGAGATAATAATGACAGCGCTGGGAGGTGGAGCACTGATATATATTTTCAGCTCAAATCTGAACGGCTCTCTGAGTGGAATCTTTTCCAACCTAGAGGCTTTAAGATGTGACAGCATTTGGCTTAAATTATGAATTTCTGAGTGGGTGAAGGGGATGTCTGAATCTCTGGCATATATATATATATATTTTCAAGGCCTGAAAAAGTTTTCTTTTATATAGAGCATGTCCCTCGTTAAAGTGCAGTCTTGTTTCCTCTAAGGGTTTTTATTTAATCAGATTGCCGCCCCTTTTTTCGTCTTTTTAAAAGAAATCAGATGTAAAGTCCAGCGTTAATCCTGGACATAGATGTTGAAAGAGTTTGACCTGGCCGTTCCAGAGGACCTAGAAAATCGTCCACATGCTGTTAGTTAGTTGATGGACTGTCATCCACCCTCAGTAACCTGGGCTTTGGTTAAACCTCCTCTCTGCAAGGTCACAGAGCTACGCCGACAGATGCAAATGTGCAACAATAAATCAGCCGTGACTCGGCTAACAGTAGATATCAGATAGATGTTCTGATAGAAAACAAACTTTGACGTTTTACTAGAGCTGCTTTATTTATAAAGAGTCTTTTGAAGATACTTAAATCGACCTCTGTGCCTTTGAAAGACAGGACGAATAAAACTTTTTCTGGAAATTATTTGTTTTCTGGGTGAAATAAGAATGTTAGAAACTTCTCTGTCCATGAAGTCTTCCTGTGTTCCTATTCTGGAGGAGATGGAGGAGCCGCGTTTGTAGCTGGAGGCCTTGAGTGTTATAGTGGAGCTGCAAGCAGCAGTAATTTGTTACCAGGAGCTCCCTTTGAGCTTTGCTACTATGGCTGATCTGGAGCACCATGGGGCATCCCCACCCCCGCTGGTTCTTCTAGTTGGAGGAGGTGCAGCTTCCAGCCAGAAAGTGGAGTGGAGTCATTATCGGATGCTAAATTGGGCTTGACCTTGATGCCTGGAGGCAGAGAGTGAGAAGGAGCTGTTTTTATAGAAACCTCAAAACACACAAGAGGAGCACAGGCTCTTCTGCTGAAAAGGAATACTGCCGATGTTTCTGCACATCACCTGATTTTTTTTGTGTTTTTTTCTGCAGACATGTTGCATTAATGTTTAATTCTTCCTTTTGTGTCTCTGTGTTTGTTGACTGTGCGGAACTTAGATTGCTGCAAGGTGTAGGTCGACCCGATGAGGTGCTGGAGTGTGTTGAAGCAGGAATCGACCTTTTTGAGGGCTTCTTCCCGTTCCAGGCGACGGAACGAGGCTGCGCTCTCTGCTTCAGCTTCGACATCACGCCCAACCCAGAGCGAGCAGGTAGAGCGCCCTCTACATGTGTGGGAAAGAGCTGAGAACTTTAGTCTGTA